CCTTTTTTTTTTTTTTTTTTTTCGTCGAGGTATCAAGAAACTGGCATAGCCTCCTCCTCCTCCTCCTCCTTCTCCTCCTCCCTTCGTCTTCTTCTCTCCTCCTCCTTCTTTCTCCTCCTCCCCCTCCTCGTAAGTTTTCTTTATCATTCGAAGTGCCACGTGCCACGTGTCCGCCACAGTTCCTCCTCCTTTCTCCTCCTCCCCCTCCTCATCATCATCTCTCTCCTCCTCCCCCTCCCTTCTTCTTCTCTCCTCCTCCTCCTCCTCCTCCTCCTCCTCGTAAGTTTTCTTTATCAGTCGAAGTGCCACGTGCCACGTGCCACGTGTCCGCCACAGTTCCTCCTCCTTTCTCCTCCTCCTCCTCCTCCTCCTCATCTCTCTCCTCCTCCCCCTCCCTTCTTCTCTCCTCCTCCTCCTTTCTCCTCCTCCTCCTCCTCCTCTTCCTCCTTCGTCATCTTTTTTTTTTTTTTTTTTTTTTTTTTCGTCGAGGCAACTCAAAATCGGCAGTTCCACCTCCTCCTCCTCCTTTCATACTCTTGTGTCCTCCTCCTCCTCCTCATCTCTCTCCTCCTCCCCCTCCCTTCTTCTTCTCTCCTCCTCCTCCTCCTCCTCCTCCTCCTCTTCCCTTCGTCTTCTTCTCTCCTCCTCCTCCTCCTTTCTCCTCCTCCTTCTCCTCCTCTTCCTCCTTCGTCATCTTTTTTTTTTTTTTTTTTTTTTTTCCGTTCGAGCAACCCAAAATCGGCAGTTTCACCTCCTCCTCCTTTCATAATCTTCTTTCCTCCCCCTCCCCCCCCCCATCTCTCTCCTCCTCCCCCTCCCTTCTTCTTCTCTCCTCCTCCTCCTCCTCCTCCTCCTCTCCTTCATCATCTTTTTTTTCTTTTTTTTTTCCGTTAATGCACTTTAAAATCGGCAGGTCCTCCTCCTCCTCCTTTCATCTTCTTGTGTCCTCCTCCTCCTCCGCCTCCTCCTCATCATCATCATCATCATCATCATCTCTCTCCTCCTCACCCTCCCTTCTTCTTCTCTCCTCCTCCTCCTCCTCCTCCTCCTCCTCCCTTCGTCTTCTTCTCTCCTTCGATGCGGTAGTTTCTGCTGGCCGTGATTAGAATTCTGAGGAATTTCAATTTGAATTTCGAGTTCGACGATGGAGTGCGGACGTGTCAGGAATGCTGATGTGGCAGCGCTGTGGGCTGTTGGGTAAGAGAGGGGAACGACTGCTGACGTGCATAGGTTGAGATCTTCCTCCTCCTCCACCTCCGCAGCTCAGGTTGGCCCTACTGGTTATCGCTTACCGCATCCAAGCGGAAAGATCCGAGATACCTCCCACTCTGTTTGGGTGGTTGTCTCTTATACACATCTAGATGTGTATAAGAGACAAGTGCGGACGTGTCAGGAATGCTGACGTGGCAGCGCGGTGGGCTGTTGGGTAAGAGAGGGGAACGACTGCTGACGTGCATAGGTTGAGATCTTCC